GGCACTGTCGTCCCTCAATTCCTTGACCCATACTAGCTGTGTGCAAGCTGCAGTTCGCCCTATGTCATTCAGCTGTTCTGTTGCCGGTCAGGGCCACTGCTACTGCTGGCATTGCTCTTGCTTGGCTGATGCCTTGGCTGGACCAGCATCTCGTCATGGAGTTGCAGAAACAACACGACGATCAGATAAGCAGAGCTGACAGTTCTCACAAAAGTTATCATTATCGACGACATCCCTTGAAGAGAATGCGGCAACAAGACTTCCTCTGTCAGTTGTGGAGGTGTCACGTGGCTTTGCAACCTTCACGAGGATCGTCAACCACAAGGCTCGCAACTTGCTTCGTTGGACGGCGGCATACATAATGCCCGATGCCTATTTTGTTGCCCTCAGTCACTGTCCCTCGCTCTCTGGCTTCGAATGTGAAAAAGGTTTCTGGAAAATACATGAGAAATACAACAGTGCACTCACACAGTGATTTTCCAGTGAAGGCAAACGCACACAACCATTTTGCGCAAAAACCAGAAGAGTAGAACAAAAGTACAGCAAAACGCGAAAAGCCTAAATGTACGGCGCAAAGCAAAAAGTCGTAAAGTCGAAAAGCAGCGAAAAGAAGAAGAAAACTACAGCAAAACGTGAAACGTCCAAGAGTCAAAACACACACCACAGCAGAAGCCAAAAACAACAGAAGTTCGCACACATCTGAAGCATCGTGGCACAGCTTTGGTCAAATCAAAGCATGTACACCACTGGAAAACTGTCGGGTGGCGTATTGGGCTGTAGCTCCGGAGGTGTTCGATTTTGGGGATGCAAGTTCTGTGCAACAGGGTTTTCGGAAACGTGAAGAGACGCACATTGAACTTGGTAAACCACTCCCATGAATCCCTGTGATGTTTTGCTGCTTCGGGCAGTGACAGACCCTAAATCAGCTGACCCGCCTACATCGTAACCGCAACCCTATAAAACCTCATCAACGCCTGTAGCGATACTTATAAGCACTTCGAAGACAACCAGGGTTAACCACAAGTCATTAGTACCAACAAAAAAGCAAACTCAATAAATGTTCGACTCCTCGCAGAAACCACTAATTTTGGGGCCGTGTCGATGTTAAAAATGCTTCGGGGCATGATAGTGCGAGGAGCTTTGAGGAATGCCAGTAGGAAGCGCTCCGCCCCCATCGTTGAAGCTCTTTGATGAGCTACACAAACTCACCCATACGAACAAACCCCATAAGCACTTTTCAAAACCGAAGCTTGTTTCAAAATATGTCGCAACATGCTAAATCGTCCCAGAAACCGTGAGGGGGACCCTCCAGGGATCTGCAAAGCCAACCCGCTTAGGTCTCAACCAACTCAAAACTTTAGGCCCGCGGAACCTCCGTAGGAGTGACTATTGTTATAGGGCATACGGTCTGATGTGATTTGGCAAGATACTCCTATGCGTTGCTGTTTGTATAAGGTCTGATGTGATTTGGCAAGATACTCCTATGCGTTGATGTTTGTATAAGTAAGGTTCAGGATGTGCATCATTTACTTCGCATGATTTCGCTTTGAACCAGTCAAGATGATGGCGTTGGTCCCGGAACAAGCCTCCCAGAGGGTTCTTAGGGCTGTCGGACAGACCAAGGTTTAGGGCTTCTTACTTCCCGACATTGCTTTGCCGCATGCGGGCGGCTGATTCGTTTTCGGATCGCCGAGGTGACGTGCATTTACCATGCACTGGTTTCGGACTGTGGACTGGATTTAGCCTTTGTGAGCAAGGAGACGGCTTTCTGCAAAAAAATATCCAACAGTGCGTGTGGTTTGCGTTGATTGATTGAAGTGCATGTACTCCACTCGCTGTTTTGCTTATAGTGGTGCTTCTGTTGGAGACGCAGATCCGAACGCTAGATTTCACGGTTTGAAGTGTCGCCCCTCGCTGTTTTGCTTAGTGGTCCGTTTGTTGCAGACGCAGGTCCGAATGCCAGTCTTTGCGGCATGGTGGTAGCTAGTCGTAAGCACAGGGGACTCGAAACCCTAAACCCAAGACACCGTAAGCCCTAAACCCCAAACCCGAAACCCTAAGCCCCAAATCTCACTCCCACAGAAGGGCAGAAAACAAAAAGCTCAAGAATCCGATCAATGTTGGAAACCTGTAGAAGCAAAAACGATAAAACAAAAAAACGAAACGAACAGCGGAATCCGAAAAGTAGAACAAACCGTACGTAGTCCCAAAACTGCAAGACAAGTCGGAAAGCCGATCAACCCAAAAAGTCAGAAAAAATGCAAGAACACCCGAGTCAAACAGCCGGAACAGTCAGAGACGCGCAAGAAAACCAGAAAAACATCGAAAAGCCCAAAAACATCAGCAAAGTGCAAGAACAACCGAAACGTCACAAACTTTTCGACTTTTGCTTCGGTTCTCGGCTTATGGTAACCAACGCCTGCTTGCGTACTTCGGCCAACAGCGGCACGGCTGCAGACGACAACGAATCTGCCTTTTTTATGGTTTGTTCTTCATTCCGTTATTCGAGATTCCTTCACTCTGCCTCCCGTCCGTCCCTCCGGCACGCCCTGTGGCCCAGAGTGGCGATCACTGAAGAAAGCAGCATGCAAACATCTTGACGGAATGAGCCATATCAGGATTTCAGGCAGATGCAAAGCTTGCGAGATGAGAAAATGCCACTGTATTGCAGCTCAGGGCTCTAACGTGCCAGGACGCCCCCGCACTTGACAGAGCGCCGGGTGTGGAAGAGAAGGTTCTCCTTCACTGCAGGCTTCGAAGTTGGTGCTGTAATGCACCAAGTTTATCTCGAAGCTAACAAACTGCACCGAGTCACAGCCTCCACATCAAAACGCTCATGTCTTCTTCGTGTTTGCAAGAGGCTATGAAGGACGACGAGCCCTTTGGAGCGCAAAGGCCAAATCCAAACCCGTCAGAGAATCGGAATCCGCTGGACCAGCGGGTGCCAGCCTGCTGCATTGTGTTGAAATCGATGCGGTACTTGTTGCCCTTCGCTGCAATGTCAACGCTGGGCTTTCCAGCCTCCGAGTTGCAATGTGGAATAATGTGGATCAGATATTGGGCTAAAGTCCGGCAAGGAATGTTATAGAGCCTATAGTCTATACGTCTTCGTAAACATCGAATGTCGGGTCTGGAATTACTACCACATGTCCTGGGCCAACCTTCGGCAGCCAGGCTCGTTGTTAGCCACAGACATGCGCTGCTTGAGCAAACGATGGTAGGATTTAGGTAGATGAGGTCTCAGACCAATGTCCTTCTTGCTCTGTGGGTTGGTTGGTTCTGGGCGGCATCAAGCACTCAGTCTTCCAATGACTCACGATTTTGTGGGATTTTGAAGCGGCAAAGCTGCAATCGGCCAATTGCTTCGGAATGCAGGCATAGGCTTATCAAGCAAACTGACTGAACACGCTACGAGGTCACGGTCCCCAAATCCTTTGCCACAGTTTGCGATTCTGCTGCTTTGATCGCACTACTTGCTTGGCATCCGCTGGCACGCGAGGCAAACCACTTGTTTATGTGGCAAAGCAGGAGTGAGCAGCAGTAGAAAAAGCATCAACCCGTTTGGTCTACTGCCTGATTGTGATTTTTCGATGTCCATCAGCTGTCCCATGAATGTGCGCTCAATCAAGACTCGGCACGAACCCTAGAAACGAGACATGAACCTGGTCGAAATTGATTAACCAGAGGGGGTACCGTTCACGATGTCATCACGGAAGCCATGCAAATGATTTCAGCGAGAGCGCTATACGGAAGCCACTGCGTGAAGATGTAATGTGGGCCTTGCCAGGCTTCGGCTTGAGACATGCCGGGTTCTTTCCATTTGGTGTGGCCCGACTCCAAGTGCCTTTAGGAGCTTTCAAAAGACATTTTGGGTCCAATTCGTTGCCATCAAGCTGGAGGAGGCCGGGGCAAGACCACCCTCCCCCCCGGGGATTCCTTTGATTCCTTTGTCTGCACTGAGAAAATGCCAGTTTAGTTTCATACTCCGGGGAAGGGAATGCATGGTATGATGAAATGAGAGCCGTTGAAAATACAGAGCCTTGTTCAGAAATGGAGCGCACCCTCAATTTTGACAATCCCAGTTGTCAGATGTTGTCAGAAAAAATGCGCTCCGGAATTGATAGATCGAGGGCAGCCTCACCATGAAGGAACTTTTCAGCACTGTGCCCAAACATGAACAGGCTGAACAACAGGAAGTCTCCAGCCCTTGCTGCGCGAGCACTCCCCGACCTTGCAAGCTTTGACGATCTGCATGTTGGTCCCTTCGTCGTATGGTTGGTATGAGTCTGCCGATTCCATCCAGTACCACTGAGCGGGGGAAGTCGCCTCGGCTGTCATCGCCTCATACAACCGTCAAGCAACAAACCTCGAGTTCATCATAGCACCGGTTGCTCACACCACGTGTAGAGATCCATTGCTGGGAAATGCTCTGTTCAGATCTGCCAAAATATCTTGAACGAGTGCCTATACCTTTCGACCCTCTCTCGTCCGGGCAACTTCTTGACGGCTTGCCGCAACTGGTTCTTTGCGAATGGGGCGGATGGCCCCTGTGGACAAGTTCACCTCCACAATGCCCCCATGATGGCTGGCACATTGGCAAAACATCTGGAGATTGCGTGCGCATGACTCTCGAGCTGTTATGTTTGTACGAGCTGTCTTGCTTCTATGCACAACACCGTGCCTCATGCAATGGCCCAGGTACGGACGTGGCGTCGACTCTCAGACTTGTGCAACTCCTAGACTAAGATTGTGCTTCGAAACTGCACAGACTTGACTCGGCTAGTATATCGTCGCCTGGCTCATGCTGTTGAATCTGATGTCGTACTGCATGCTGCCCAGTTGGATGACAACGTGGCTCTTGTTGTCCTGCAGCTTACAAGGCTTACCATGCAGGCCATAGCAGGAAAATCATGCTGCAACGGCGAACTCGCCGAAGCATTCTGCATCCATGACCGTGTAGTCTTGTCAAGACTGCACCCATAAACATCCATAAACAGAACCTATGCTTGATCAAAAAAAGCATTTCCAGCAAAGCTGTCGTGCACCTCGTAAGCCGTGGCAATTTTCATGTTTGCGGCGGCGTCGTAAGGTGTGTACTCGCCCTGCTTGAAGTAGTCGCGCCAGAACCACTGCGTCGCGGGCCTGGCCTCGACTCTTGGCGCTTTGGACGAGGAGGTGCGCTCCTGGCTTCGATAACACTTGAACGAGATGGATCTCCTTAGCCAAGAGTACGTCCGTCCTGCATGCAGACTCTTTCAGGAACGTTACCACCACATTCTCCATCTTCTCGACGAATTGCACGCTCGTTGCAGGTGTCGTCGCTGACCTGGGTCAGTCACACTACAAAGTACGATCTTGCGGACGAGTGGACAGGAAACACCATGAAGCTGTGTCTTCGCTTCTGGTGCGTAGCTCCTTCTTCTGCTGGGCTTACTGGGGCTGTGTGGCACAAGAAGACTCTGATTGATTATGCGCTGGTTAGAACCTCGATGTGTTTGGAAACAAAAACATCGTCTAAAGTAGTGCATCAATGCTTGGTTTTGATACTGAGGCCATAGCCATAATCATTCGAGATCGACAAAGCACCGAACTCACTTCGAGCCGCAGAGATTGAGCGGAAACAAAGGCATAACAGGGGTCTGAAGAAAGGCATTATTGGGGCGGTGCTGTCTGGCACTTTTGTTGGATGCTGGCTTACATGAAGATCATGGCCCGGCCGCGAAGGTGCATGCGGGCTGGGATTTGATTGATTTAGCCGCTCCGTAAACCTGGAAGCAGCAAATACGGCACAAGTCGCCATCGAAAACGCCTTCGACGGCACTGCCGACAGCAGTCGATCTTGAACACATAACCAACTCATAACCAGCTGCCGACAATCAGCTTCGATCACTCTGGCAGTCTGTTGCATTGCACACCGTGAGTAAAGTAAGATGTGTTGCGGGCGTGGCAACACACGCTCAAACGAGCCTACAGTGTCGTGCTTCAAATGTTGAATCGTGCAGCCCGAGGTCATGAGGTGGCCAGAAATCACAAAGTCTCAGAGTCAACAAGGTGCGGATTGAGAGACAGAGTGGGAAGCAAGCGATGTGCTTGGAAAACAATAGCTGAATCACAAGTCGAATCAAAGGTACATCTATCGAACCGATACATGCTGTGATGTACTAGAAGGTGGTAAATGTAAGCAATTGGCCAAAGCCGGAAACAAGTGCAGGTCTGCTGCCACGACACCTGGCACATTTTGGCGAAGTCAATGCGGTACATGGTTGCCCCCACTCCAGACGACAAAGGCACGAAAATGTAGGCTCCCTTCTTGTTCTCCTGGAAGGCATCCTCAATCTTTAGATTTGCCTCGGATTCGTAGGGCATTTCGTTCGGCCTGCCGGGCTCGCCCGCATCCCAGAACCACTGAGCCGACTTGGACACCTGACAGAGGCGTCTTTGCCTCGACTGTCTGCATGGTTTTTGATGTCTGACGTTTGCATTTGCGCGATACTTTACGCAGATGTCTGCATACGAAGAACCCACTTGACCCATGGAGCGGGCCTTGCTCGAGCGAATCGCAGTGGTCCCTTGGCAAATGCACATGACCCTTTCGAGCTTCAAATGTGTCCTTGTGTCAGGCAATCCATGTGGATAGAACTCAAGTTGACGAGCCAAGCTCAAAATGAGTCGCTATGACTAGCGATGTCAAAAACCCAAGATCACTCAACATTACCATTTGTTGGAAACGACTCTCTACACAACCATAGCTGATGACACATGTTCGTGCCAAGTTTCCGGGCTCACTGAGCTGGGTGAACTTGCTTTGATGGCTGCCGGCTGCATCGGCAGTGCTCGTTGAGCAGCGTTGCCCGCTCACGGCGTCGGTGCTGCCTCAGCCAGCGTGACCCCATCAACATGCCTTCGAACTTCGCTTTCCAAGATACTCTCATGGTGTGCAGGCGCACATCGTCCTGTGGTTGCAGGGTTGCCACATCTGAAAGACAGATTCGTCATTTTACACACTGGACAGCAGACCCCGCGTGAAAGTCATCTTGCACAAATATAACTTCTCATCGTAGCGCGTGGTCCAATTTTTATCTGCCTCCTCATGTCCAAACTGCCCATCCCAGTCAACGAAAGAGAACACCACCGAGCGTCCAGTTGGACGATCGACTTGGCGTAATTCCTTGACGATGCAGTCTGTAGCCGCTTGCACGATGTCATTCCAGGCAGGAGACGTGTGGCCGGTCTGCATGTCCACTTTATCGACCAGCCAAAGGGCCCATTCATCATTCTCGGCACGGATTTGTCTCAGAAGTTCAGATCGGCGCAGCATCAGCAAGGCCCCCAGCCAATTCTTCCCAGAGCCAAAGGAGTTATTTGACCAGAAGGCATCTCTTCCAACCACGTTGTTGTGCTCCAACCTCAAACAACAAAACAAACAACAGCAATGCCTTCATAGGCAATCAACATCATGAAGCTGAACATTATGCAAGCTGCAAGAAGGCCCCTTTGGTGTCCATCAGCTGCTGTGCCAAGCACGAGCTGTCTCGAAACTTCTGTTTCAGAATGTCCATCATCGTGGAGAGCCTGTCTGAGGCTGATGCCAATGTAGTTCCTGGGCTCCAATTAGCATGCAACCGGCCAGCACAGCTACAGTAGTCAGTAGTCCTTCAAGTCACCTCAACACCGAGCTGCGGCCGTTTCGACGGAAAGAAAAACATGTTCCTTGCGGACAGGTCACCGTCCCAGAAAATCTCACGGCTCTTCTTCTTGGCATCCCTTCCTGTAAGTCGTTCAAATTCCTCTGCAGAATTCGACGCAAAGTGCACACATGCAAACAGGCCAACAGGCCCAATGTTGGGCACATTGCTTCGTCTGTGTTTTAGAGATGGGCAGTTGCAGAGCTTTCCGAGATGACCTCTACTTCCAGCACCAAGACATGACACACCTCCCCCCCTCCCGCCCGCCGGTGAAGGTTTCGGTCTACTCCAGATTCTAGGGTTACGAGTTTGAGCATAGTTTGAGCCTAGGCCAAAGATACTGAAAGTTACAAAGTACTGCACTTCTATGCAGATCGAGGACTTGCGCATAAGCAATCCCCTTGTTCCCCTTGTACACTCTGACTGCTGGACTTTGGCGCAGGCAAGATCTCGGCTCAAAATTCGCTTCAGCAAGGCAACTTTTCAAGGGGTAGCGATGCAAGCTCCGGAAGCTTACCTTAGACAAACACCTCCAACCAATTCGGCACATACGTGTGCAGCCGGGCCGAGACGGGCAACGCGAAGCGTTAAAATTATGTTCAACTGTCTTGCGTACATGCGCATGCAGATAGTTTCTCCTCGGCTCTGTCCCAGAACTTTGCTGCCTGATACGCAGCCTCGGCAACGTCGAACGAGTGCTCCTTTCCGTCCCTTTCCTCAGCTCTCGTGTCTCCAGCCTCCTCTATAAAACTTTAGCCAGACTCAGTCGCACTTGCTTTCATGTCGGGTCTGGCATTGACGAAAAGTCAAAAATGGAAAAAGCAGAAGCCAAACGCACAGACAAAGCCATCGGGGTCAGAGCATCGAGCTTGATGCGGAGGCCAGGCTGGTCGAAGAAGTTTCCGAGAAACTCGGCATGGCACAGATCATCGCCTCGGGAGCTGCATTGTGCGAATTCTCAATTCGTGGCTCGTGGACATCTTGAAAGATCAAGTTGCAAGGATCGCTTCGGCCAGGGTAGTAGAAAGCCTGCTCACTTGAGCAAGTTCTACTTCTGGAAAAGCTTGTGGTTTGGATCAGAGAGGCTGTGAAACTCACGAGGTATGCCTTGACAGATCATGACTTTGTGCCCGCCCGACACTCAAGAACTTGTCACTCACTCAGTTTAGGGTGAGCGACAATCAGTTTCCGCGAGCCAGGTGCCACGATAGAGTTTGCCGCATCGAACGCAACAGGTGTTGTCTTCTCATGCCTGACCAGAGCGAAATGACGATGCTGTGCTCTTGCTCTACGGTTTGAGGGTTGCAGGAATAAACGCTGAAGCCAGGTGTTGTTGGAGAGGCTGTATACAGAGACAAGAGACAGCAAATGCCTCTACAGCAGAACGGTGCAACTACCGAGAACATCACGCGAGAGCTGCTGAAACACATCTCAGCGACATCGAGTCAGAAGCGGACGGGTGCTGCACTCCCAGGCCTTGTCTTCAAGCATGACCGTAGACCTTCAGCCGCGTGAGGCATCCTCAAGGTCGTGTTTGTAAGCACTAGACAGGTGTGACTACAGTGGAATCAAGTCGTCGTGCAAGGCGGCCTGTGTAGCGGCACCGTCGGCAACATGCCTGCAAAGATGTAGCATTTTGTGAAATGGCGATCTGCCCCTATGGCAGCTCTCCGAAGTCGAACCACAGCAAACTCGATGCACTTCCGGAGAGTGCTCGATGACGCAAAGTCTCTGCAAAGCTGCGAAAAAACTCTGACAGCTCACACGGCCTGCCCATGCGGGGTACGAGTACATGCTCAAAGCGGTCATGGACACTGCCTGTGTTGGCAGTGCTCAGGACGGCAACTGATGCTGGTGGCTTGGACAAGAAAACCGCGGCAAAGAGTTACCATCGCACCACTTCTCTGGCCTGGTATGCATCCCTCACTATCGTTCCCCGCGCGACTTTTCGCACCAGAAGCAACTTCCCTGGCACTGCCAAAGTCCAGCCAGGGTTGCTGCGACTCAAATACTCTGGCGAATTCTGGCTGAGTTAACTATTTCTTCGATATAAGGACCACATCGTCGGCCCCTCAGTCGGTAGGGCGCTGTTTACCTGTGAGGTCGTCCACCTTGGTTGGAAAAATCAGATTCAGTACCTACTGGACTGTGTGCGGCAAGCTTCCTTACTAAGCCTTCCTGCGTGTAAAAGTCTGCAGTCTTGAACCCACGAAAAACATGAAAGATGAATTGAGCTTCATGTCGCGGATGATTCTTCGAAACGGAGACGCCGAAGTATGTTGCTTATGATTTATGGTTCTTTCTGCATTTCTCCTCCAAGCAGTGTGGTGCACTACGGAGGTTCATTGCATTTGGTGTAAAGAGGGGTGCTGATTGATGATTGGTTTGCACATGGCGCGAGCCTCAGCATGAACCCGTGACTGAAGCTCGCGGCTGCAGGTCGAAGTAAGCCTCTGACACCCAGAATCTGGATGATGCTGGGATTTCCAACGCACCACTCTGGATTTCGCGACATCGTGGTGCCTGCAGTGTCTCGGCGAGGGTGATGAGCGTTGGTTGCGCCACCGGATAGGTTTAAGGGCTGCGCGCTGGGCTCGGCAGCTGTCGAACCCTTGCGCCTGGCTCTGGGAAGCTGCATCTCTAAACGGAAAGAGGGAGCTCCCGGCTTGGCCTGCCAAGAAGAGTCATCCGAAGCCGACGACTTGGGGTTGCGCACGGTAAACTGGACCCTGTCCGAACGAAGCACAGGAACCAGTCCATACGTGGCCTGTACGGAACTGCCGCATACCATGTTCCTAGTTCAAGCCGCTGTTCGGTTCGACCGACATGCTTCAAGAAGTGCATTCAGACAGCATGTGCAAAGGAATGTATTCAACAGACTCGATGCAAGCCGTGCCTTATTAGTGCAGGACTGTGGCCATGGAAGTCATGGGCAAAGCGTGCCGCCTTGAACGAATTCGATTCTGACCAAAGGAGACGAAGTTTCAGATTGCTATCCATTCTCCAACTTTGGAAAAGGTGGCCTTTTGCTCCGTGACCGCAAGGTACACTCCCCGTCCAAGGCAGCCCTCTGTCGATGGATGGAAGCCCTGCAAAAACAAAGAACAAGCTGTCTGTCAGGCTGTAACATTGCCACCAGTGGACTGCGCTTGCCAGCGTCTCTGAGGACAAGCCATGCTGAAACTTTTGCAGAATCACTCGCGGTGGATCAGATTGGACTGGCTTCTTGAACGTAGGCTCTGCTCTCGAAGTCAGGACATGCCAGGACGCCAAGCCCAATTTAGGATGATGGCATGTCCTATCGCAAAGCAGTATGGAACCAAAACACGCCCGCCGAAAACCGGTCCTCGTCAAGAATCAGCTGTGCGTTGTCCATCGATGTGCCGTGGAATGCCTGCACAACAGTGTTTAGCCCTTGACCCTAAGCCGGACGGCGGAATTAGTGGCCGGTGCTGAACAGCAGCATGATGCGAAGGAACAAGCATATACAGCGCAGGGAGACCTTTCGAATCTTCTGGCACAGGGAAAGAACGAGCCGCCTTGTAAGTTCCTGCCTTCAACCTCAGTGTTGGCGAGCATCTCATTCATCGCGTGAGACGGCTACTCTGCCCTTCTATTCCGTTGCCGAAAACATGTGCCTGCAGCACCGCGCGCATGCTAAGACATAGACCGAGGTGGAGGCTCTCGTGGCTGAGAGTGATGATTTCCTGGAGTTGGTTTAACATTCCATGGCTGATCATCCAGGGGTGCAGCTACTTGCTGATGCATGGGATGCTGCTATTCTACAGTCACAGTCTGTGTGTATTTTGACACACCTGATGCATTACGAGCATGAAAACAGGAATTCCGAATTGTGCCGAGTCTCCGTCGCAAGGCGTCCCATTGCGACAAGTCCTACAGCAATATTCCCCGGGAGCGCCGTTGTGCGACGCCGTGCACGGGCATTCCTGCCGGGCACACCTGCAGCCACAGAGACAACGCAACATGAAGCCCCACCCGTTCGAGTGCGCAACAGCCTGGCGAAGCCAATGTTGAGAACGGGGTCGGAGATCACTGCAGTAGAGTTGGCGCCCTCGGTTCGCAGTGGGCCATCACAGTCGCGAAGTGCCGTACTCGGATGTAGTCAATCGTGGATCATCTCCATGCATGCTACCGATCTTTCACATAGACCATCGTGCAGGCACTAAACTACGACTATAGCCCTCCAAGCACGAATGTTCGACGAAAGACGACGGCACTCACCAGATCACATGCTTGCCAGGGTACCCCAAAGGAAGCTCTGCGCCCTGCTCTTGCCGTGAGCGGTCTTCCACTGGCAGCATGAAAGCAAGTTGTCATGGATCATATACGACTCATCGATTTCTCGACAAATCATGCACTGAAACATCGTGGGGAAGGGTTGAACAAAAATTACGCGAGTACTAGCTGCAAAGGAGCACCAAAGAGATTATCACCCATGATCTCGGTCGCACCGGCGGTCATGGACTTCATGGGCAATGGTTCCAAGCCCATCTTCCAACCGATGCGTCAATGCGTGATGCCGCATCGTTGAGCCCGCCAATGAGCAGCGATCAAACAACTCAGTGCCTGGTGCTCCGGGACTCAAGTAATGAAACATTTCAGCGGGCCTCATTGTCGCGACGTTGGACACGGAATGCATCCAAGGCTGAAAGGGCATGGCTGAAAGGCGGGCAAGGATGCCTTGAAACGGGTGAGGAATGTGAGGAAAGCAACGTGGGAGTATAACTGCCGCACCAAAACGGATGGCAGTCTGCAGTGGAACGAGGCCAATTACTCTGTGCACATCACAGTGATGGAAACGTTTCAGCCAATAGATTCCTACGAAGGTAGATCGGCAGGACCTCGGGCAACAGATC